CAAGATACTTCTCTGGACGAGTGGAGAGTTTCAATTTGAAGGTGAATCCGAAAAGCCCATAGATAGATTGCAAGAAGTCGAAAAGGCCCTCAATTTCTGAGGTAATCTGCAAGATATTAGCGAAATAAAGGAATGAACGGAGATTCTAGTGAAGCTAACCTGATCCTGAGTACAAAAGATATGGGTATCATCTTGCTGGAACTTCCGGACACGGGTGAGTCCACTTAGTGCGCCAGATGCCTCGTTTCTGTGCAGGACACCAAAGTCTGCAACCCTCAAGGGAAGTTCTCTGTAACTTCTCTCACGATGCCCGAAAAGTACGAAATGTCCGGGACAGTTCATAGGCTTCAGAGCCCACTCCCTCTTCTCCACGTCAAGCTTAAACATATCGTCCTTGTAGTGGGCCCAATGTCCAGATGTCTTCCAGATACTAACATCGTACATGTTAGGTGTCTGAACTTCCTGGTAGCCACGCTTACGGTATTCTGACCGCAGAAGTGTCTGAAGAGCATTGAAAACCTTGGTGCCATTGGGGAGCAAGAAGGGGCATCCCGGGGAGACTTCGTCAAAGAAGAAAAGCTCTTGCTCCTTGCCAATCTTCACATGGTTACGCTTTTCTGCTTCCTCCAGGAATTTCAGATGTTCTTGCATTTGCTTCTTGTCAGGGAAAGCAACACCACGGATACGCTGCAGAGAGTCGTTGCTTTGATCACCAAGGAAATAAGCAGCAGAGTTCTTGAGAGTAATCAGCCAGGCATTTCTACAGAGAGGGTCCTCAATTCCCTACCTGCATGATCTTGAAGGTCTTGACCTTGCCGGTGCTCTGAATGTGGGGTCCCCTGCAAAGATCGACCAAAGTACCGCATCGATAAACAGTGCTCTTTTCTCCAGTCACCAGCTTGTCGATATAATGCAGCTTGTACTTGCTGTACGAGAACATCTTTTTCAGGTTCTCTTTTGTGACTTCTAATCTGTCAAAGCTCTGCTTTTCCTTGAAGACACGATTTGCGTGTTTGTCCAACGCTGGCCAATCCGTTTCTCTGACAACACGACTATAATGGGGTCAGTTCCCTGTCAAAAACAAAGTATTCTTCTTTTCTGGGACGCACTTATCGGGCATGGCCATGTCGTAGAAGAAGCCCTGAGGGGTTGGGGGTCCATGGGAAAGGAGACACCCATATTCGCACTCGCAAGCCTCACCCAGACAGTGAGCACTAGAGTGCCAGAAAACTTCCCTTCCTTCGGGATCCTCAAATCGCACATAAGACACCGCGCAGTCTCCCTCTAACGGACGACTCAAATCCCAAAGTTCCTTACCGTCCACCTTCGCAAGCACAATGGTGGCACTAAGCTCCTTGGGCACATTTTTGAGAAGCTGGGCTGGAGTGGTTTCCCATGCTTTTGCGGAGATCTGTTCCTTGTTCCCGTTGCCGAGTTCAAGGGTGACGTTGATATCGGGGTGCGGCTTGTTCTTGAGTTCCTCGATATATTGTTGCCAAAGCTCTTCGAAGAAATTGTTGCGCTCAATCATAAAGTCAGGTAGCGAACCGGCACCTGGTAAAACTGATTGATTAGGAGGGGTATTCACAACATTTGGCGGGGTTGATAGTGACTCACCTTGAGTGCCCGGAGCGGACCTGACAGGCAAATCCTTCGAGCCTTCAGAAGCCATGGCTGTATCCCGCAACGACAAAGGAACGATCAGGGAGAAGATTACGAGGAAAGAGGGGCAAGTCGGCGACGATGACTCTTTTGCAACATATCGGAAATAGACATTTAACCCAACCAGGAATGGGGGACGGAAGGCGGTGAGCCACGTGACGGAGAACTGCCCTCGAGGCTAGCGACACTTTACCGTTTCGAGCTTCCCACCATTTGAAAACTTCTCCAGGTTCCACTCTTACAGGTCAATCTCAACAACCAAACCAGTATGTCTTTTCGCGGAGGAGGTCGTGGCTTTGCCACTGGTGCCAATCGCGGAGGTTCCTTCGGTGGCCGTGGTGGTGAGTAAATACAATAATCGGGGCGGACGATTGAGATGGACGAGGACTAACGAAATTTTCATCGGACAGGCCGCGGAGGCTACCAGCAGCCAATGGGACCACCAGCACAAGTTTTGGGTATTTAATACCGATGCGATTCTTGAACACGGCAGCTTACTGATATTCTGTCAGAGATGGGAACTGTTATGCATGCTTGTGAAGGGGAAATGGTGTGCGAATCGATCAACCCAAAGATTCCTTATTTCAACGCCCCTATCTATCTGGAGAACAAAGTACGACCCATCGACGACGTTTTCTTTGGAATGGAGAGGGCTAATACATCACTTCAGACTCCTATCGGAAAAGTTGACGAGGTTCTTGGTCCTATCAACCAAGTTTACTTTACCATTAAGCCCCAGGAAGGAATTGTCGCAACTTCTTTTAAGGCTGGTGACAAGGTTTACATTGGTGGAGATAAGCTCCTGCCTCTAGAGAAGTATGGATTGTTTCTCTCTATCTACTCTGCCAGCTATGTTGACTTGAGGACCCAAGGTTTCTTCCTAAACCTAAGCCGCCACCAGGTACGATCTCGTCGATGACCGAATGAATGTATGTTGCGCAAATTGCTAACAACTATGCAGGTGCCGCCAAGCCCAAGAGAGCTGGAGGTGCTGCCAGGGGTGGTGCTCGCGGTGGTAGAGGAGGCCCACGTGGTGGAGCGAGAGGTGGACGGGGTGGATTTGGTGGATTTGGCGCACCCAGAGGACGCGGCGGACCTAGAGGAGGTGGCCGTGGTGGAAGTGGTGGCTTCTCTAGGGGAGGCGGCAGAGGAGCACCTCGTGGAGGTTTCCGACGTTAGACAGTCTCCGTCATGCTTAGCACTGTCTTATTACGGCGTTATGGGAAAACGGGAGCTTTTGCAGGAACTTTTTGTGTCGATATATCTGTGCATCCTTGGTGGCTTACCTATTCACAAAGGCTGTAGACTAATTCAGCCATTAAATGAATGTTATTATACCGATCAAGTACCGGCCAAAATAACTTGTGCATACTTGTAGTTTCTTATTCGGATTTCTTCGATACCTTGGGCACAGCCACCTTTTGAGTGTGTGGCTTGTATTGTGGCGCAGCACAACACCGCCTGGCAATGACGTCTGGAGAGATTTATGCCGAGCCGTAGAATCTGTGCGGCTTGTCAACACCCTTTCATCTGCAACTGCCAGCAAACCCTTCAGTTCATCACCACTTTCCTCTGCTGTTTACATACAGAAACCTCTCGCAATCCACTTTGCACTTATTTTGCGCATTCTTACTTACTATCTGTATTCGAATTGAGCATGTCTCGTAGGTCATCGGTCATGCCGTCAAATAATTCTACGCCTACCGGCGACGGAGGTAAGCTCTATTCGTTGGTGAGCTGTTCGAGGGTAAGAAGGCTCAAATTCAATAGCTCAGGAAAAGCAGAAGATGCTTCTTTCGGCGGAGACAGGGCACTTCAGCATGGTCAGGTCAGTCTTTCACTCAGTGACATGCTCAAATTAATTTCGCCGCTAACTGAACGTTCTTATGTCAGGGCTTTACATATGGCAGATCTCGTAACTGAGCTTAATGGTAATATATTGAATCTTCTCATAAATCATTCTTACCGAAATTCGCTAACCATGCTTCATAGGATTTTGTGGAGGCAAGCCAATATTCTGGTGTTTGCGGTTAAATACCAGTTATAACTGACATTTATCAACAGTTATGTCTGTCCTCTCGTCCATGCGTTATTGCTTAGGAGATCCTCATGAATACGGTGCTATATGGTCTGCGCTTGGATTTATGCCCTTCGGACTTTTCTTTGATTTTATGGATGGGAAGATAGCAAGGTGGAGGAAGAAGTCTTCGCTGATGGGACAAGAGCTCGATTCGTTGGCAGATCTGGTAAATTGGTCCTTTGATGCGTTGAGTCGGAGGGCAAAAAGCTTATGACACCCTTTAGATTTCGTTTGGTATGGCACCGGCCGCAGCCGCCTTTGCCCTCGGAGTCCGCACAACTGTCGATCACCTCCTCCTCGCGTTTTTCGTCCTCTGTGGCCTGACACGGTTAGCCCGGTTCAATGTTACAGTTGCTGTACTTCCTAAGGACAAGACTGGAAAGTCAAAGTACTTTGAAGGCACACCAATTCCGACAACATTGTCCATAGCCTCACTCATGGCTTACTGGGTTTCTCAGGGGTGGGTCCAAGAAGACTTGCCACTGGGCCTTGTTGCGCAGGGCACGCCTTTTGAATTCCATCCGGTGGTGTTGTTGTTTGTCCTGCATGGCTGTCTCATGGTCAGCAAAACTATACATATTCCCAAGCCCTGAGTACAGAACTTTGCACATGCGAGTGAAAAGATATTTCTGTCTTGGAAATTTTGACTTGATAGATAAGTGTTCATGATACTTTATCATATATAAGTAAGAAAGCTAGATTGAAAGTGGACACCAAGTGTTTCCTTAAAATACAGCTGCCTGATGAAGTAAAGAATGGATTAGCGTCATGACTTTCTGGAACGCCCTACGGAGTACACCATCCATCGCATAGAAAGACAAGTCCCAAAACATTGAATCCATTCAAACTCTCAAAAATTGGGATCGTCGAACTGGAAACGTCTAGAATTTGTCTATAGCCAGCTCTCTTGGATAACAAGAGGGCTCACAACGGAGTCTGAGCGTGGTTAGAAGGTTTACCCATGCAGGGCTGCATCCAGAATCCTGATAATTGATCCATGAGTAAAATTAGAAATATGTAAGAATTGCAAATATATCAGGAACTGGGAGATGTGTACCAGAAGCCTAGGAGCAATTCGTCAAGCGACCAGGAGGTTGCAACGACTATTGGGAATCTTGATTACAATTTTCAGTTGTGGTGTTGCACACACACTTTGCAACCCAGACAGACATCATCCATCAGCTGAGGGATCAAAATGTAAATTGCAGTATGGAGCAACTCGGAGTTGAAATTAGGCTTGGGGAGGAAAAAATTGTGTCGTCAGCGACAGGATTCGAACCTGTGCACACGAATGTATCAGATATATTGATAATACTCTATTCGAGTTCGAGTCTGACGCCTTAACCACTCGGCCACACTGACTTGATATTGGGATTTCATATCTTTTGTAAATTATGATGGGGCAAATGAGCCAAGTTGATCGACTTAGCTAAGCTTCCAGTCTATGTTTTAAGAATAATTAATATTAGAAAACGCCCTTTCTGTATGAATATTAAATGTATTTATATGTTGAATTCTCTTTGCTCCGGAGGCCATTTCCTCGTATTGTTATCGTGTAGCCGTCCACTGGTGGTAGACTACTCCGTATCCGTAGTAGCAACTGAATTTGATTAAGGCTGGCTTACTAGTGGGCACCTACGAGGGCTATCGGATCCTTTCAAGGTTCCAACTTTCAATACTCCGTATTTCCAACAGTGGTTCTTAGAGGATCGCGGGTGCGGCCACTGATTGGTCCAGAAATATCAGTTGATCCGAATCACGCTACCCGGTCGTGGGACTTCAATCCCACAACGCGTTCCTTGATAGCTAGAGAAGAATCAAGCATTTAGTGGAAGACACGAGGTCACTACGGAGTACGGAGTATACAACGCGTCTTTTGATCTCGTGACCCCGGGCCGATATGCCTACTAGAAGCTGCTGGAATCCCTGCTCCCAAGGTCCTAAGCTATAGTGAACACTTAAATAAGCCATGTGATAGAAAGATTTTCAATGGTATTGATGACTTGACTGCCGGGGGTGTCCCTTGGGAGTTCTAACGATCCATCATACTACTAATGTTCAAGATGCTGAGGAGCCATGGCTGGTGAAGATTAGTAGTAAAAATATATACTTACGGAGTAGTAGCATGGATTCTATGCGTTTATGGAGCCCTCCTACTCGGGAATTTATACTGTCTTTAATCATTAGAATGTATCTACGAAGCTCGCGGGTCCCTGATCATGTGAACAAGCAAAAGAACTTCTACAAATATTTTATGTACCCAGCTTCAATATATGGGTTTAAAATTTTAGCTGAATACGAGAAGAAGTTGGCACTTAGTATGAAGAAATGCCAAGAACATCATTATCGGAATGTATTTATTTACAGAGATTTCAAAGCCTACAATCATCATCTATCTATCTACTCTATTATATGACAACTACTCCGTACGTTTTCGCAGATATACTGATATTTACGCCTGCCGTTCTACATTCTACAGTGGTAGAAATCCCTGACCGCCTGCGGGTATTCTGCCGGTTCGTACCCCATCAAAATCAGGTAGAGTACTGACCGCCTTGAGATATTCTGCCAATATAATAAATAATTCAAATAATTCAAATAATTTAAATAATCTAAATAATCTAAATAATTCAAAGGTTTTAAATGATTGAAATAATCTAAATAATTTAAATAATCTAAATAATT